TATTCATACCCTTAACTAAATATTTAGCTGAAGCACCTTTACAGCCTCAAGTCTTTTTTTGTTTGATGAAACAAGCTTTGCTCATCAGCATTTGGCGATTATCTGCTATTCTTCTGAGCTAAATTTCAATTGTCCCAGATAAGGGTATGAATACTTATGCAATGGAATCATTTAAGTTTTTTTATTTTTAATCAATTTGCGAAGATGTTAAAAACCTGTTTTTTGCTCTACCATTACAATGTATGGAGTATAGATTGATGTGGAAAAAAAGTAATTTAAAGCAGTTTAGCATAAGGCAGCAACATAACAAAAAGTGGAGAAAAAAAAAATGAAGGGGTATGAATACTTTCGCAAGGCGCTGTATGGTTTACTCGGAGTCATCATGCTTGAGAGATCTGAACTATGGCCAGAAAACTGCACTCCTTTCTTATCTTTTCCCTTTTCTCCTCTAATCTCCTGTGCGGTGGTCTTAACTCATTGTAGTAAAAGTATACTATCCATGTTTCTTTTGGCATATTGATTGCCATTTGTATAACCACAGTTTTACTACAAATACCATGGTTAAACTATGGTTAGTATAGCAAAACCATGGTTAATTTGTGGTTACCATGGTTTAACTATAGTAACCATGTCTTTTGGTTTTATTTGTGGTAAAACCATGGTTATTTTTTGTCAGGGAAGAGACCGCATGGACTTAGTTTTAGCAGATTTGTACACATACATGTGTAGCTTCTTGAACAGCCTCTTAAACGCCACTAATCGGATCTCAGACTAGCATACAGTGACATTTAGAAGCAACTTCTCCATTTATCTTTGTGAATTAATGGTTCATTCAGGAATAATGTACAGTTATCTGGTCATTATCGCAAAATAAACCCAGACAGGGTGATCAGGACCTTGCCATAAAGCAGACGGCTCTTGTAGCACTCTGAAGGGGTTTATTTTACTGCCTGCACAACTATTTACAACATAAATAAATAAATACAAGGTCGGGTAAGTAATTTAACTTTAGATAAGCTAATTTACAACATTTATAGTTATTCATTTAGCAGACACTTTTTTTTTTTTTTTTTTCCCTAAATTTAAAGAATATAAATGAGTTAAGCAACCAACAGTAAAAAAAAATAAAAAATAGCTTAATGCTTGTGCTAATCTGCAATCCAAGATAACGTATTTAGTGACAAAGTAACTAGTCTTCATCCATTTTAAGTTATTTTGCATCCAGCTCTTTGTGTTTCTTACCATTTTCTTGTTTCTTCCAAGCAGTGTTGACACTCTGCAATCTGTAACTGCTTTGAGAGAAAATCTAAGTTGCTAACTGCTAATCGGCCAAGACCATAGAAAACAATGTGTTGCTGATCAGTAAAATATCTCACCTCATGACTTATGTCAAGTTCAAATAATAGATCAAATTAAGCTCATCATCTTTCAAAATGACCTCTAGACAAGCAAAATGTGATCAAAGAGAGTAGGCTATCTAGCATTAACCGGACAATCCCCAACAGGTTTAATTATAACACATGGAGTAAGAATCACAGCTTGACAAAAAGATGTTAGAAAGCTGTCATCATCCTCCTCAGCATAGTTAACACATCTCAACATGCTAAATAACAACAGTGACAGAGGTAAGAATGCAAATGTATGGCTTAATCTTCCTCTTTATTTAAAAGAGACCTTGAGACATAGGATTATTAAAGCAATAAAGAGAGGTGGTGTGTTATAATACAAAGTGAAGCTGATTAGCGAAACCCCCCCTTTGACTCCTGTTAAATGACTGTAATGTACAGCCTCTCATGTCATATTTCTATTATTAAATAGCTTCAACTGAAGTATCATAAAGACACAAGTGTTTAATAATTAATAAGTACATAATAAAAATATAATACATTAGCTTAACTATTGATTTTTCTAAATGTAATAAGCATAAACCAGAGAACCACAGTTCTATGCTTCTCTTAAAATTAAGCATATGTGCACTGAAATAATTGTGCGTGATTCATGCACATGACTGATTAATATCAAATTAGATGCATACCCAGAGGATATTTATAAAAAAAAAATTGAAGACTTTATAGCTATAAATTCCTTTGTCATGGTCACATTATAATGAGACATTTCCAAGAGCTAAAGGATAGATTGTGAGCAATCTGTTGAATATTAAATGAAAACAAATAATTAAATGAAATAAATATAAATGTTTTTCATTTATTAGGTCAATGCATCATAAAAAGTTTATTTAGCTCATGGAGAAATGGAGGCCACTTTAAAATCAAAAGAAAAAAACAAGAAATTATGTTTTTACATAGAAGGCTGTTTTAGGACCATTAAAAGGATGGTTCACCTGAAAATTAAAATTGTCAAAAAATTTAATTTATCAAAAATAATAAATAAATAAATGAATAGCCTACAATAGGTGTGTATAATACTGCAATGAAAAACATTTGTATAATTTAATTAGGCTATATAAATTAAATTACATAAACACGACATTTTTCATTTAATTTGTAAAAAAAAAAATTCTTTTTAAATCTTTTATTTATTTTAAGATTTTAAGGGTGAAATATGACTCGGGCATTTCTTGGTTTGAGATATGTACACTCAGACCGTTTATTCTGTAACGTAAACAAACACCACAATTGACTATAATAATACAACTCTGCCATCGTTTCCATCTGTGTTGATATTCATGTAGGCTATAGTGAGACAAAAAGAATTGCTGATTGAAAGATATATCGCGGGAGACCATTTTGTTTCACAGTTTAGCTTCAAAACCACTAAGATCAGAGCAAAAGAACAGACTTTGTGCATATGTTGCTTGTTTCTTTGGCACCTGCTCAAATATTTAACGCGCGCACACTTTACTATCTCTCTCTATGGACGTGTGTCTGCCGGGGCCGTCTGTCAGTAATTGACTGGCCTTGATGGAGTCTAAAGTATTACAATTAAAATCCGTTTTTTTCCCCATAATCCTCATGTTCCTATTCACACTCTGTGGAAGCTCACACCACCTGTGGCGGTAATCTACAACCTGAGCCTGACTGTGAGATTATGAAATTCTTTGTCATGCCTCGAGGAACGAGACCGGGAGCTACGCCTCTCCGTGGAAACGCACACACTTTCAGTCACACACATGGGCGGACACATTGGTAAGGTGCTTAAAGTTGTGAACTTAAAGAATTCCTGTATGGTAAGATAATTCAACATGTCTTTAATTGAAGAGTTATCTGAAAATCCCGTATGACTTCCCGTAATACTTCGTAAAAGTCGAAAGCCCTGCGCGATGACGGGTAGACCTTAAAGAGAAAGTTCTCCTAAGAATTCCAATTCTTTAATCATGTACTCCTTATAATCCACCTTATTTTTAACGTAAAAGCGGGCGCGGCCATTTTGTAACATGAATGTGCGACGCTTCCGGTGTCATTTGCTTCAGTAATTTTAGCTGTATACAAAAACAGTTCGTTATGGTGCTTGATATTGCAAACTGGTGTCATATTTTAAAGTTATCATAATCACAAACATTGGTTTGTAGCACATAGTTTTGTTTAGTGCAATTTATTATTCTTCTTAGTTACCCTTACGAAAATTAGGCCTAACCAAGTGTAGTAACCATGTTTTTTTTTTTTTTTTGGCGTATACCATTTGTATAACCAGTTACATAGTTAAACTATGGTAAGTGTAGCAAAACCATGGTTTAACTATAGTAAGCTTTTTTTTTTTTTGTAGTAAAACCATGGTTAATTTTCTCAAGTTCATATAGATTACTTCCATGTTGTAAAATTAGGTAAAACAATTGAATTTTATTGATGAAAATGAGGCTGTGTGGGATAGGTTTTTTACAATGTTGTGTGCTGCATTAAGGCCCTAGATCACGTAATTTTCACAACTTTCAAAGCTGTTTTAAGTTTTTGTCTACGTCAAGTTTTTCAGAAAGATGTTTCATCAGTTGAACAATCTGTAAGTTGTTAACAGGTATCCATTGAATGCACTGTACTGATATTTTTCACAGCCTCGTTTTCATACCCGTCAGAAATTTAATATAGCACTACATTGACTAATTCTATAATATCGATTGCTAATTTCCATGCAATTACAATGAATAGGAACAGCGGCAAAAATGATTTAAAATGGCTATTAATGAGGTACACTACATCCAAAAGTTTGGGGTTTGTAATATTTTTTTATTTTTTGGAGGTCATATGTGTTCACCAAAGCCGCATTTACGTGATTAAAATATAGTAAAAATTTTAATATTATGAAATATTATTACAATTTAAAATAACTTTTTTAAATAACTGTGAATATATTTCAAATGTAATTTATTTCTGTGATGCAAAGCTGAATTTTCAGCATCATTACTGCAGTCTTCAGTGAAACCTTTCGTATAATCGGTGTTAAACAGTTGTGCAAACTGTGATGCATCTTTTTTCAGGATTCTTTGATGAATAGAAACGTTTGTAACTTTATAAATGTCTTTACTGTCACTTTCGAGCAATTTAATGCGTCCTTGCTGATTAAATGTCTTTTAAAAAAAAAAACCTCCAAACTTTTGAACAGTAGTGTGTGTGTGTATTTCATAATTACTCATAATCAATAAATCAAACACTAATCGGCCTCCTCATAACCCTTTCAAACTAGTGATGAACAGTTTATTGTCCTCTGCGTTAAAAACAGCGAGCTGTTTAATGTTTGCCGTCCTTTTCTCTTTATTTTTGCGCACCTCAGGTAATCGTATGCGAACAGCTGGATTATTAGCTATGCATGAGAGGAACTATCTGCGGCTGACTCATTAATGGCCGCCATCAATGGCCGTTAATTAGTTCAGATGCTTGTTTGTGTTGTCAACGAGATGTCTGTTTATATTTGCCAAGCGATCTGTGGTAAAACTGCAGCCACTGCACGCTCCGCCAGGCGTGACACAAACAGCATGTTTACGTGTTTTTTTTTTTAACATTCCAGTCACATTAAAGGGGGCGTCTCAGAGAAATAGAGTGCAGCCGAGTTTCAGGCCACGTAGTTGGAGGAAGGATGGCAAGGGATGCTAAATTGTCTGTGCCTTGGCTTGAATAACAAGAGAGATCGTTTTTCTGTCAAACTTAACTTTACACTGCAGTGTGTTACAAATAAAACCTGGTCAAAGAAATCAAAGGTCATTTAGAGGTGAAGCGTGACATTTATTTGCCACTACCGTCCGTCACTAAATGGAATTGCAAAAATATTTAGATCTTCTGGAGAAAATGTGAGTGGATGTTAGAATGAAGTCAAAAGTAACGAAACGTGTTTCGTAACATACACCCATTTATTTACTTCGGAATCATTTTCACAAATATAGTAAAGTTAGAAAAGCACGAAAAACATTATATTATACCTTATACATAAATTAATATATTCAGATATATTTACAAATTGAAACAGATAGTGTAACCCTGTCAGGTTAATAAGTAGTAAAATATGGGCCCAGTGTCGTCACTGCAGCAATGACACCATGTCATTTCCTTATCCTTTCTGGACAGGAAGCTGTAAAAGAAATGATCAATACTATATTTTGTATAGATTTATTAATTTTTTTATATGCATGTCTTTTCTAATAAAAATATTTATTTATTAAGTTGAATTAATTACCTTCTTAGAGCAAAGAGTTCCCATGTAACCACTTCTGCAAGTGCACACATTGGGTCGGACACACCGGCTTCCGTATAAACACCTCTGTTCACAGATTGCTGTGGAAAAATCATGTCATTATTTACTGTTTTGTTAGGTTATATTTTAGATAATATATAGATTTTGAACAGAAATTATATATATGATAGATAGATGGATGAGATAGATAGTTTCCAATGAAACCAGAGATTTGAAACTAGGAAAAAAAAAATGTACAAAATGATGTGTGTGTGTGTGTGTGTATATATATATATATATATATATATATATATATATAAAATTTTTTCTAGTTTCACAGCTCTGGTTTCATTGGAAACATATGTATGTCTGTATGTATGTCTATCATATATGGTAGATAGATAGAAAGATAGATGTTTCCAATGAAACAAAAATTTTGTAATTGTATTTTGTAACCATGGTTTTATTGTGTGCATATTTTTCTAAATAGAAAGAGAGATGAAATAACTATCACAAAAGCAATTAATTTCTGCTTAGACTAAGACACAACTAAGACTGTGTGACTGGGGGAAAATAATAAAAAAAAAAATAGTTTAAAGATTACAAAAGAAGCCATTTTGAAGAATGTCCTGGCCGCTCTTTTCCATATGAAAGTGAACAAATGCTGTCAAGCTCCAAACAGATCGAAAAATCATAAATGGCATCATAAATTAGTCCATATGACCCATCTGCCATATTACAGCTTTATGTGAACTGATTTTTATTTTTTTCTAAATCTATCGCAGCTATCAAAACTCATTCAAATATGTCACCATTAGATCTAAAGTTTCATGTTGAATGAACTATTCCTATGCAGGTCAATCTCAAGGAAAAGCCATTTCAAACTGATCCCGATCCACTCCCCTCGTGAGAACATCAGCATTCAAGTTTACTTCCAGCAGTAACCGTGAAGTCCTGCTCCCCTGTCAAACACAGACGATATGTGCTGTTTATCAACAAAACATATCGCCAACAACCGCAGAGCGCAGGAACAGAGGAGATGCAATTATGATTATTTTACTGAGAACGAGAGCGAGTGAAGTGCGTGTCTTTGGAGGCTCACCGCAGTGTGGCTGTGGTGTAAGGATTGCATTTCTGTTGCTCGGATGGGAATCACTTACGGATTTGGCAGAGAGTTCCCTTCCAGCCGGGACTGCAGTGGCAGGTGTTCGGCTCCACACATTCACCTCCGTTTAAACACTTCTGCAGACACACAGCTGGAGGAACAGAAACAGAGAGCGAAAATACATCACACAAACAAACAAGGCTCAAATCACTGGAACACATGATCAAACGTGTGATTTTGTTATATTATACAAGTAGAATTGTTAGTTTCCGTTAAATATTACATAAGAATTGTGGGATTTCTTCTCTGGGTGCTTGAGGTCATCCCTGTGACTGGAATTTTTCCACTCTTGGACTTTTGCTAACATGAGGTAAGGAGGTCACTTCAAGGTCTTTGTCAGGATGAGGTTTGGTACTCACGTTTATCACATCTCTTTCCCCTCCAGCCTGACGCGCAGTCACACACATCCGGTCCAACGCATCGCCCTCCGTTCATACACACTGGCTCACACACACCTGTGGAGAAATGGAAAGGTAAAGCTTTGGATTTACTCGGACCGGTGAGGTAAAATAACTAAATTCAAAGTTTTGTAGACAGATAAAGGATTTTAGTGTTGAATTGGTCAAGATGTGTCTGAAATACCGATTACAATTCTGACAACAGTAACAAAACAGATCATATTAGAAAGATTTCTAAATAAAACAAAAAATAATAAAAACAAACATTAATAATAATGTACTAATTTATAGACTTTTTCCATTTAGATTTTTAAAAGATTTAATACCATTATTATTATTATTATTATTATTATTAACGTTTAATTTATACTAATTATTCATACTTCCTGATACAAATTTGTATTTTTTATTATTTAATATGAAATATGACATTCTTTTTATCATAATTGATAAAAGTTTTTAAATCTATTGTTTATTATTAATACATTATTCTGTTATTTTTATATTTAAAATTAGTTTTTTAAATTATTTTAAATTTAATGTCAAATATTTATTATTAGTTTAACTACCTAATTTAATGTTTAATTATTGATAAATTATTAATGTTATGATTTATTTTGAAATGTTCTTTGTCATTATTTAATATAATAAAGTTTGACATTATTATTAACATCATCATTATTATTATTATAAACATTATTGTTGTTACTATTATTATTAATACTTGCATTTTATTGAATGTCTTATTCATAAATTAGTTATTTAAATGTTTTTTAATTATAAATATGACAATTATTTGAATATTATTATTATTATTATATAAAGACATTATTTTATCTGTTTAAATTGGTCATTTTCATTATTGACTATGATACTATTGCATTATTATTATTATTATTATTACCATTAGCATTTTCTTTATTCCAACTGTATTTAAAAGCAAAAATTAATTAGCTGCTTACTGATTATGGTGTGAAGTATGTTTAGAAAAAAAAAAAATTTTACACTTGACCTCAACATAAGGACATTACCAATGGATCTTAAATGTTATTTTAATTAGAATATTCATTTAACGAGACTTGCCATCCAAATGATTTCATCCAGTCCTGATCCCATATGTCTCGTAATTCTCACACTGAAATAACTCACTATCTTTGCTCAGATTCATCTCTCTTCCTCCTTGATCAGACAGGCCATATGTAACTCCTCAACTAACGTCTGATCTTGGCTCCCAGAGCGCCATTTTCTGTCATTTCAATCAACAGAACAACTCTATACCTTCCTTCCATATGCCGTGACTTAAATCCCATCATGCCATGTGTTTCAAAGGGGGCATAGAGGTATAAAACTATAAGTTTATGATTGGAGCTTTACCGAAACCTGTTCCTATCAAGACGACACTTACTTTTCTCACAGCGCGGCCCAGAATATCCCTCCACACATGAGCAGATGTTATTTCGTACACAGTGACCACCGTTCTTGCAGGATGGGCTGCACACGGCTGAAAGAAAGAGAAGCACATAAAAGTCCAGCATTTGATGAATGAAAATCACACCTGTGTTCTCTAAACTGAAGACGGACACATCAAACAGCCGTAAGGTCAAATAACCGACAGCAAATCTGACATGACTGGCAAAACACACTCTAAAAGCTCCTACATTTCACAAAACTTGAAGCAACCCAGACATTAGAGTCATTCCCCATCATCAAAAACATATTTACCAAGCTGCTGTTTCAAGCCATTACGTGAATCATTCCTCACCACATGAAGCTGCTGCAGAGGAATCGATATATACACATCAAACGTCCTGAATCTGGGGCTACGACATGAGCGCAAGACTTCAATAGAATCCAAATGGTTTTTAGGGCTGGTCCATTTTATCGTTTTAAAGTGCAGTAGTCATGCTTCACCTCACACTCTTAAGAAATTGATATCCGGCCTTTGTAAGCTCTCAAAAAAACAAGGCGATGCATCAGGAAAGAAGATTCAAAAAGAAGTGCTGTTACCGTTTTGACACCGAGCCCCGTAGAAACCAGGCTGGCAGGTGCAAGTGTTCGGCCGAATGCAGGTTCCACCGTTGAGACACACGGGGTCACACAGAGCTGGAGACAGATACATTTATTAAACAAAACAAGAATGAAACCTCGGCGGGTGTTTCGGGTTCAGATCTCACTGTGTTTGTGAGGTCAAAATCACAGCTGAGGTGTTAAAAATAATGATTTACTTCTGCAAAGAGAGTAAATCTGGCCTACGAGTGATTGTCAAAGAAATAAGTTTATTGTTCGATTGTTCGAAACCTTTTGAAATTCATAAATTTAAATTGTACATGCTGTGCCACAATGAAGTTTATACAACAGAGTTCTGGGCTATAATTATTATGCTATATATACACTCACTGGCCACTTTATTAGGTACAGCTTGCTAGTACCGGGTTGGACCCCCTTTTGCCTTCAGAACTGCCTTAATTCTTCGTGGCATAGATTCAACAAGGTGTTGGAAACATTCCTCAGAGATTTTGGTCCATATTGACATGATAGCATCACGCAGTTGCTGCAGATTTGTCGGCTGCACATCCATGATGCGATCCCAGTAGACTAGCAGTTTTTGAAATACTCAGATCAGCCCGTCTGGCACCAACAACCATTCCACGTTCAAAGTCACTTAAATCCCCTTTCTTCCCCATTCTGATGCTCGGTTTGCACTTCAGCAAGTCGTCTTCACCACATCTAGATGCCTAAATGCTTTGAGTTGCTGCCATGTGATTGGCTGATTAGCAATTTGTGTTACCAAGCAATTGAACAGGTGTACCTAACAAAGTGGCCGGTGAGTGTGTATGTATGTATATATAATATATATATATTTATATTTATATATATTTATTTATTTATTTATACACACACACACAGAGTTTTGGCATGGAACTCAAGATGGCACAGTCCGATAGGTCTAACTCAATCTGACCTAATGACATCATTATCACATGGCACAGCTGATTGGTTCTCTCCTGTATTGGTAGCCAATGAGCTCACTGCTCAACATTCAAATATATGTGCTTGTGTAGCAGTTGCAGCTTGCTTCAGAAACACTCCACCTTCCCCAGCTCCACCTGTATAGATCTGCTATGAGGTGATTCATGTATGCTATATGGGGTTATTTCATGTATGTTATATTTGCAGCAGCAATATTTCTTACATGCTCACAGCAGCATGTTCTGAATGTATATGCAGCAGCGTAGCAGATCTATTCCGCCAAGACCAAATACATTAACATTGTCATGTACATTACTGTGCCAATCCCTCCGAGAGTTGTCATGACAGAAGTGTGTGTGTGTATATATATATATATATATATTTACTAAAAGTAAAAATTAAATAAAAATAAACCTACATAGAATTAAAAAAATATATATAAAAATGACAAAAGCTCATTACAAAATTAGTAAAACTTTAAAATTAATATGAAAACTGACTAAATGGGAAAAAAAAAAGAGTTAATTCTCTCTCTATTCCTAAAAATACCTATGGCAACATCTTATTGCATCACCTTATTGCTTTGTTAGGAGAGTCAGGGTTGACTTATACTGGTTTAAAGTATTATTTATGTGAATAAAAATGACATTTGTTACTCTGAGGCTCTCTGCTCAATTGATAGTAATTGATCCTCACAGGTTGACGAGAGGAAGTTATCATCAGGCTGAAATAATAGCTGGTGTATTCTCTGAGCCACTAGGACAGAATGAAAAATGAAGAGATAGAGGTTCTACATCAGCTAAATGCCACCAGGAAGCAGCACACACACATATGATGGATTTAGTGAGAAGAGATTGGTCCCACAGGGAGCCAACCACACACACTCTCTCACCTGTCTCACACGATGGTCCCGTCCACTCCACCAGACATTTGCACTCATCCGGTGATGCACACTTGCCGCCGTTTTGACAGTGACGGTTGCACACCACTGTGTAAATGAAACCAAAACACATGCAACACCATATGTGACCACTAGGGGTGCAAGAGATTACATTTAACATCCACATCCACATGAAATCCAAGCAAACATGATTTATCAGGACTCACTGGTTTCACATCTGGACCCTACGAAGCCATAGGGACATGAGCAGGTGTCTCGACCCACGCAGGTGCCTCCGTGCAGGCAAGGCAAACTGCAGAGAGCTGCGGGAATATTCATACGACCAAATGCACATAAAATAAAGTCATATATCACAAAAAGCAAACCGCTAATGCATACCTCATCAAGTCTGTGCAGATTATTTGGCTCTTGCCTCTTTATGGAAAGCACAAATGGTGCAGATTTGCAAAATGGTACCAAAAAACATAATACTTGAGGCCATCTGTATGCTATTTGACACAAAATTAACCTACACAGATATAAAATGGACAATCATTTTCCTGAACATAAAATGTGTATGCAAACATTTGTCAAATGAAATGCTCTCAAAACAATGTTGTCTCCTATTAAATTTATAAATACCACTCCAACTTGTAATAAAAGCAGCAAATCATGGTTCATAAACAAAAGGCTGTGATGTAAACAAAAGGCTATTGACCATTAAAATAAAGCAAATCACGGTTCATAAACGAAAGGCTGTTACAGACAAAAGGCTACTGACCATTTTAAAAAAGACCAGAAAAACAGCACTTATCAAGCTTTGCACTTTTTACACATTATTTACACTAGTGCTGAATGGCAATGAAATTTCAGTGCTCTTACCGCTTTCACAAGCCTCTCCATGGTAACCTGACATGCAATCACATACATCTGGCGCCACACATTTCCCTCCGTTCAGGCAGGCTGGACTGCAGATTGCTGTGAGAATCCAAAATTACGTTATTGAACAATTACGTTATTTCAAAAATTAGTCCTTGTGTATGTGATTGTACCTATGACCATATTTACAACATTATAAAAATTGGTGTGTTTTTGTTTGTGACCTGTTTCACAATTGGGACCACTGTATCCCTTCTTGCAGCGACACGTGTTGGGGGCCGCACACTCCATGTTTCTACCGCAGGCATGTCTGCACACGGCTGAAGGCACAAATGTCATGCAAACACAAATAACACATGGTCCGATTCACTCCGTCAAAAGCCAAACACATATTTGCCTCCATCTGTGGCCCTGAAGCACAGGAAGCGAAAACATATA